TCGCCCCGTTGCGCCCCGTCTCGGTGAAGACGAAGCGGCGACCCGCCGCGGTCGGCCGGCCATGCCCGTCGGCGTGCGCATGCCCGGGTGGTGGTTCTGGCCAGCCGCCGGCGCCGTACCCGCTCTCGCGGCGCGACGTTCTGCGCCCTTGGCGCTCGTCGAGGACGCGACGCTCCCTCGCGCGCCTCGTTGAAGGCGTCGAGCGAGCCGTAGCGCTCGATCGCGACGTCCTCGATCGGGCGGCCCTCGTCTTCGGCCGCCTCGTACGTGCGCTTGAGCTTGCTCATGCGCCACGCCGAGCCGGACGAGCCCGGTGCGGGCGAACCCGTCGCGGGAGGTGCGGTGGACGAGGCGGCGGCGGCGGACGAGGTCGAGGCGGCGTCGGGCGTGCCCTGCCAGTAGGCCTTGTTCAACTCGCGCGACGACTGGCCCATCGTTTGCTGCGGGTGGGGCGAGTCAAGGGTCAGAAGGGTAATTCCGGTACGACGCAGTGCAGAGAGAGAGGGGGACGCACGTTCATGTAGAGGTTGCCGCGCAGGACGCGCCACAGGACGCGCTCAAAGGTGCCCATGCGCGCGCGGTCGATCGTGCCCGCGACGAACCTGTGCGGCGAGGGAACGTGAGAGTCAGTGTGAGGCCCTGTAGAGAGGGACAAGAGAGAGAGATAGAGAGGGCGAGGACGTACTCGAGCTCGAAGCCGCCGAGTCCTTGCTCGCCCGCCTGGATGTTGGCCTCGACGTCGCCGAGGAGCGGCGCATCGGCGTCACCGTGCTCGTCAAAGCTGCCGCGGATGTCGCGCGATCGGCCCTGGGCCTCCTGGAAGAAGCGCTCGGTCTCGCGCAGGACCTGGCGCGCCTCCTCGAGCTCGAGCGCGCGCTTCTCGAGGTTGTCGTACGACGTGTTCATGGCCGCGACGCGCTGCTCCGACTCGGCGAGGCGCGAGTCGAGCTCGTCGAGGGCTTGCGGGCCCGAGCGACCGGCGATGAGGGCCTGCGTCTCCTCGTAGGGGCGGATGTGGATGCCCTGGCCGGCAATCTGCTGCGTCAGGAAGCGCAGGCGGCGTTCGGCCTGCGGTACAAGGCGAGCGCAAGGTCAGTGACAGTGCCGCTGTGCGAGTTGGAGAGAGCGCGGACGCACCTCGTCGCAGCGGCGGATCTGGGATACGTAGGTGCGCTGGAACGGGTTGACGTCCGGGTTGAGCTGCGGGCGGGGCGAGGGGCGACGGGTCAGTGAGGCTGACACGCGGAGGAGGGTGGAGTGGGGGTCGCGACGCACGTCCTTGAACTGGATGCGCTCGAGGTGGCCGAGTTCCTCGACGGTCGAGTGGGCGACGTCGATGGGACAGAAGAGCTGTGGGGCGGGCCGCGTCAGTTGGTGCGCGAGATGGAGAGAGAGTGTGGGTTGGGACGGACCTGGACGAGGCTCATGTGCTCGCTGCCTGTAGACGGGGCGGGCGACGAGAGGGGGGAGCGTGTGGGGTGGTGGATGACGGGGGAGGAGGAGGAGGCGGTGGGTCAGTGCCGTTCGAAAGGGGGGGGGGAGGGTGGAGCGTACGGAGCAGCGAGGGGTACTGAGTGAGACCCTCGTGGTCTGCCATGGCTGGTGGAGTGTGTCGGGTGGAGAGAGGGTGGTGGCACCTTGGAGGAGAGGCGCCGCGGAGTTGTCTCACCTCCCCTCGAGCCACGCGCGCTCGTCCAGCTTCACACCTCGACCCTCGCATCCCCTGCCACCCACCAGCAGCCATGCAGTCGACCGACTTTGAGATCGACGAGACCGACTACGACGTCCAGGCCGACTTTGTCCAGCCCGACCTGTACAACGAGGCCGGCAACGGCGAGTTCACCTCCCTCCCTCCTCCTCCCCTTTCTCTCTCGCTGCCCGGCCACCCACGCTGACCCACACCGTGTACCGACCCACAGAGCAAGTCGCTCAGCAGCAGCGCATCGCCGAGGCCGCCGCGTCCCAGGCCCACGCCCTCGAGCAGCTCGCGAGCGTGCCCGAACCTGTCAAGCGCTACCTCATCTCGCTGTGGTCCCTCCTCAACGCGCCCCAGCCCAACCTCGCCGAGATCCAGTCGGCGTACGACAGTGGCTGGGCCCGCATCTCGGACAAGTTCTACTCGAACAAGGAGTGGCCCGAGGCCGAGGTCATTGCGCCCCTCGTCAACTACGACGAGCTGTTCCTCACGCTCTACAAGGAGCTCTACTTCAAGCACATCCTCGCCCGCCTCCAGCCCACCCTCGAGGACCGCATCTCGTCCTACGAGAACTACTGCGCCCTCGCCAACACGATCCTCAACTCGCCTCAGCCCGTCCCCATCGCCCTCCCCGTCGACTGGCTCTACAACATGTGCGTCCGCCCGTCTCTCTCTCTCTTGCGCTCCTGAACTGACTCGGCCACACACCTGCAGCATCGACGAGTTCGTGTACCAGTACACGAGCTTCACCCTGTGGCGCGCAAAGGTCGACGGCAAGACGGACGAGGAGAAGGCCATCCTCGCCGAGTCGGGCCAGGTACGTCCTCCGCTCTCTCTCTCGGGTGCACACGACCGCCACTGACTCGCCCCTCGCCCCTCGCACACGCGCAGGTCTGGTCGTGCTACTCGGTCCTCAACGTCCTGTACTCGCTCATCCAGAAGAGCAAGATCCAGGACCAGCTCGCGGCGGCGCAGCGGGGCGACGACGTCGAGGCGACGGCGGGCGAGTACGGCTCGATCCCGCTGTACCACCACCTCGGCTACTTTTCGATCCTCGGCCTCGTGCGCGTGCACGTCCTCCTCGGCGACTACACGCTCGCCCTCTCGATGCTCGACGGCATCGACCTCAACAAGAAGGCCCTCTTTACGCGCGTCACGTCGGCCCACGTCGCCGTCTACTACTACGTCGGGTTCGCGTACCTGATGCTCGGCCGGTACCCGGACGCGATCCGGGCCCTGTCGCACATCCTCTTCTTCGTCCTGCGCCTCAAGCACTTCCAGCGCGGGTCCCAGTTTGACCAGATCAACAAGACGGCCGACCGCATGTACGCGCTCCTCGCCATCTGCCAGGCCCTGTGCCCGACCAAGGTCGACGAGGGCATCGCGACCGCCATGAAGGACAAGTTTGGCGACCAGCACGCGCGCCTCGTGCGGGGCCAGGCCGGCTCGGCCGACCAGCTCGCCGCGTTCGGCGAGCTGTTTCAGCACGGCGCGCCGCGCTTCATCAGCCCGAACCCTCCCCCGTACGAGCACGAGTCCGAGGCGGTCCTGGGCGCGTACGCGAGCCTGCCCGACCCGTCGCAGCACCAGCAGCAGCTGTTCCTGAGCGCCGTCGAGCCCCAGCTCCAAAACTCGACCCTGAGGTCGTTCTTGCGCCTGTACACGACGCTCGGCACCGACAAGCTCGCAAAGTTCCTCGAGTGCGACACCGAGGACGACGTGCTCGAGATGCTCATGACGGCAAAGGGCGCCGCGCGCAAGACGACCTGGGTCGACGGCGGCCTCCTCGACGGCCAGGAGACCAACGTCAGCGACGTCAACTTTGGCGTCGACGAGGTGCGTGCCCGGCCCCCCTCCTCTCTCCCTCTCTCTCTCTCTCTCGCCGCCTCACTGACTCTCTCACCCTCACCCGCAGGGCCACCTCACCGTCGCCCAGTCGACCACGTCGCGCCGGTACGGCGACTTTTTCTCGCGCCACGCGCTCAAGTTTGCCGACGTGTACGAGGGCCTGCGCGCAAAGCCCCTCCCGCTGCCCAAGGCGCGCTCCTCGGGCTCGGCGGCGACGGGCTCGGCGGCGACGGCGCAGGCGGGTGCGGGTGCGGGTGCGGGTGCGGCGCCGGCGAAGAAGGAGGTCAAGGTCTGAGGAGCGGGACGAGGAGGGGCGCGGACGAGGAGGGGCGGGCGCGGGAGGTGGGCCGGCTCGAGGGCTTGCTCGGGTGGGAGGATGGGTAGACTGTTGGGAAAACCCCCCCCCCCCCCAGGACGAGGAGGGGGCGCGCGAGTGTACTTTGTCTTTGCCCCGCGACTCGGCGAGCCTTGCGGGAGAGCGAGAGCGAGAGAGGTCGACCGAGAGGGCTCGAGCGGCTCGCTGTGCTTCTCTCGCTTCCGCTCCTTTCGCGCGCTCTCTCTCGCTCTCTCTCTCTCGTTGAGGACGACATGTGCGAGCGACAGGCTTGGTGATTAGGCAGAGCTAGTACGACGGGTTTAGACGGCGAGGCAGAGGGAAGGAACGAGGGTGATGCGAGTTGGCCCGAGGCCGTAGAAGAGCGAGGGAGGGGGACCAAAGAGGGTATAGATGCGGATCGACAAGGGACTGTCCAAGAGAGAGAGAGGGGGGGGGGGTGGGGGTCGCGCTCGGGCTCAGTTGACCTTCTCCTTGAGCGCCATGCCGTCGCGCTCGCTCGTCGGCGGCGCCGCGAGCTCGTTGGGCCCGTTGACGACGCTCTTGGGCACCTCGCCGTCGTCGAGGCGCTTGGCGAGCTTGGCCTGGTACTCGGCGCGCGTCATGCGCGTGTTGAAGAAGATGCTGCAGGAGGGACGAGGTCAGCGCTCGGGCCCGCGAGGGGATGCGGGGATGGAGGGGAGGGCGCGAGACGTACTCCCACGAGATGAACCACGGCTGCGAGTAGTTCTTCTTCAGGCCGGCGACTTGGTCTGCGGCGGCGAGAGAGCGCGAGTCAGGCTCGTTCCTCGAAGCTCTCGAGAGGGAGAGGGCGAGGGGACGCACGGTGGATGTCGTGGTAGTCGGCGTTGTTGCCAAACAGGTGCTGCAGCGGGTCCCACGGGAAGGCGAACCCGCAGTGGTCGTCGACCGTCTTGAGCGTCGACAGGCCAAAGAAGAGGACGGCCTGGCGCGTCGAGAGGCCCGCCATGGCGTGCGCGAGCCCGGACCCGCACGTGTCGAGCGCGAACCCTTCCAGCGGGTGGTTGTACAGGGCGCCGTACGCGTAGGGGACGTACAGGCGGTGGTGCCAGCTGTGCACGGTGCGGTACAGGAACGTGACCTGGTGCGCCGTGCGGTGCATCATGTACTGCCACCCGTCGAGGACGAAGCTGCGGCGTGAGAGAGAGGGGGACACAGTCAAATCAGGCCGTTCTCAAGCTCGATGAGGCGCGAGAGAGAGAGGAACGAGGACGCACAAGGCGAACGCCATCTGCACCGTCGGCCACACCCACCAGTACACGAGCTCGGTCGCGCGCTGCCCGTGCTTGGCCATCCACTCGCCGCCGGCCCTCGTGCCCGCCGCACCGACGACGACCTTGGCGACGGTGCGCCCGAGCTGGTTGAGGTCGCCCGCCGGGTCGACGACCTCCTCGTCGCTGACGAGCCACACGAAGCCGACGACCGTCTGGATGACCTGCTGGAGGACGACGGCCTTGACGACCTCGGCGGGCGTGACGCGGTTCTTGGTCTTGACCTCGTCCGGCTCGTGGATGCGGTGTCGCTCGAGCGCGGCCCAGTTGAGCGAGTCGAGGAGGTGGAAGAAGAGCGAAAAGGCCCAGTAGACGACGAGGGGCGCGACGAGCGACAGGACCTTGTCCGACATGCCCGGAACGAGGTCGGCGCGGTGCACGTGGTACGCTGGGTAGCTCGCGCTCGGGAGGGGCGACGCGAAGTGCGGCGCAGAGGCCTCGGCGGTCGAGGTCGCGTTGAGCATGGCGGGCGGGGCTCGGGTGGCGGCTGGACCTTGTAGACCTGCTTGCGCTCCGTGCTGGAGCTACTGGGTGCGGCGAACGAGGACGGGGCGCTGCCGAGGTCGGAGGTTGTCCGAGAGAAGGTGGCGAGGCGCGATGAGCTCGCGGGACGAGGGCGGCAGCTGCTGGGGCGGGGACGGGTGCAGGCGGTGCCGAGTCGGTGTCGCTGTGCGCTGTGCGAGTGTGCAGGTGGCCAAGAGGCGGTGGGACGGAGGCCGACTCTGCGGTTCACTCGATGCGGAGCGGCGCTCGCTCGGAGGTTGGCCGTCTCACTCTTTCCGAACGGCTCACGTCTCGCGCGCGAGGGAAGGGGACAATGAGTGGCTTGCAACGGAAGATAAAGAAAGTGAGGGATCCGGGCTAAACGAGAGTGACTAAACGAAGGAAGGAGAGAGAGGTCGATGCGGCGAATGATAAACAACGGGGGGGACGAAGGGCAACGAAAGAGAGAGAGAGAGCGAGAGGGTACTGTGTACGGCAAGATGTGGGTCCAAGGAAGGGGGCTCTATGCTAGATACGGAGAAATAAGAGAGGGAGGGCGAGGAACGAGAGCGAGGGGAGGAAGCGCGACGACGACGACGGCGAGGGAACGAGTGACGATGACTGCCAGGCTCGCTCAGCGCGAGAAGGTGAGGACCGAGGCCGTCGCGGCGCGCTCGAGGCCCCTGCGCGGGTGCAGCATGCCGCCGAGCTTGAAGACGGGTCGGGCGCCCATCTTGCTCGATGGCGGGCACGGCGAGCCTCCTGCGGGTCCGCCCGGGCTCGAGCCGTTGGTCCCGAACGACGAGTCGCCCTCGTGGTCCTCCTCGGTGATGGACAGCGCCGCCGTCGAGGCTGCGACGCCTGCCGCCGTCAAAGCCGACAAGGACCCGCTCGACGACGACGACGACGACGAGTTGCCGCCGCCGCCGCCACCGCCGCCGCCGCCGCCCGACGCCGAGCCGCTCTTGCCCGGGCGCGGGAACTGGAAGCCCGTCGGCTCGAGGGCCTGCCGGCTGAGGAACGCCCCGCCCGACACGGGTCGGCGCGCCTTTGCGTACCCGGCCGTCGCCGCCTTGGCCGAGCCCAAGCCCGCCTCGTGCGACCGCAAGAGCGCCGACGCGTGCTGCGCCTGCCCAAACGTGAATGACGACGCGCGGTTGAAGACGCGCTTCTGGTCGCGGAACTTGTTGAGGTTGAGCGAGCGCTTAGCGTCGTGCTCCGGGTGGTCCATGACGACGTAGCCGCCGAGGCACCGTTCCTGCGAGGGCGAAGCGGGCAGAGTCAGGTCCTCGGTCGCGCGAGAGAGAGAGGGGCGAGAGGTGGGACGCACCGGGTACGCCTTGTAGAACGCCTCGTACCCGCCCTGGAGGATGTACAGCTCGGGGTAGAAGATGTTGGGATACGCCGCAAAGTTCTTCTGGCGGTCCTGGTTGCGCAGGTGCTTGGCGCTGCGCAGAGAGGGAACAGAGAGAGAGGGGGGGTCAGCTCGAGGTCCTCCAACGAGGACGGCGACGACGACGACGACGACGACGGCAAGGGAGAGGAAAGAGGGCGAGGGCGAGGACGCACCTCGTCGGCGCGCGCTTGGCGCTAAACTCGCAGTGAAAGATGAGGACCGTCTTGCCCTCGCGGGGCGCGCAGTCGCTCGTGCTCGGCTGCGGCGGGTTGGCCGCGTTGAGCAGGCGCGCCTCGACGTCGGCCAGCTCGGACAGGTTGATGGCGCCGTCAATGTGGCCGCCGTCGTACTCGTAGTCGAAGCGGCAGTCGACAATGATGAACTCCTTGACGCCGTCGCGGTACATGCCGCTCTGGAGCTCGCTCAGCTGCAACGAGGAAGGCGGTTCGTCAGTCTCGGCGTCGGCGGCGGCGGCCTCGGGTGGGGAAACGGAGAGAGAGAGAGAGGGAGGAAGGGGAGACGCACAGTCCGAGGCGTGATGCGCATGAGGCCGTCCTCCTTGACGCCGAAGCACGGCAGCGCCTTGCCCTTGGCCTCCTGCTTGCGGAATCCGGCGATCGGGCTCGCCGCCTCGGGGCTCACGCCCGGCTGCTTGCCGAGGTCGACGCTCGCGCCGACGCGACGGTTGCCCGCGCTCAGGTAGTCGACGCAGTCGTCGAGCGGGAGGCACACGTCGGGCGGCTCGAGGTCGACCATGACGTTCGGGTCCCGCACTGACAGGGCCGGGCCGAGGCCGTTCGACAGCGAGGACGACGCCGACGAAGGCGCCGTACCGCCAAAGGCGCCGCCGCCGCACAGGAACGACGGGTCGGCGACCGAGTTGGACCTGCGCGACGCGCGCAGCATGGGGACGGCGGCGGGCTTGCCGTCCTCGGCCTGGGTCGCGTGGCGCTTGTTGAACGAGTCGCCCGTGGCCGTCGCCGGACCGAGCGACGCGAACGTGTTGAGCGACGGCCGCAGGACCGCCGCCGAGCGCTGCCGGCGCACCCTCAGCGGGAGCGACGCCGTCGACGCCGCCTTTTCGAACGCGCGCCGGGTCGCCGCCGCACCACCACCGCCTGCGCCTGCGCCGCCGCCGCCGCCGCCGAGGAGGAGGAGGTGGCCGAGCGGGGTCGGGCTCGCGGGCGTCGGCGAGTTTTCCTGCTCGAGGAACCGCTTGCGCGAGTGCGGGATCGGCGACAGGTTGTCGCCGGGCGAGTGGCCAAACATGTCGGCGAGGCGCTCGTCGGCGCCCGAGCGGTCGACGTCCGACCCGGGCGACGACGACGACGAGGACGAGGTGCACGCGGCGTCCGAGATGTAGCCGGGGCCGGCCGACACGCGCGAGTCGGACACGGAGCGCGGGTGGCCCGGTGCGCGGAGCTTGACCGGCGACGACAGGCGGTGGTGGTGGCGGTGGTGGTGGTCGGGCGACTCGCCGTCGACGTCCATGCGGAACGGCGACGACTCGGCGGCGGCGGCGGCGGCCTCGGTGCTGCTGCGGCGCCGCTGCGCCGCCATCATGGACGGCAGGCACGAGTCCGACTTGCGCTTGGGCGGACCCATGGGCGGCGGCGCGAGGCCGCCGACGGGCGCCGTCTGGCGCTTGCTCCAGCTCGGCGGGAGCGCGCTCCGGGTGCGCCCCGCCGACGGCCGCAACAACGGCGCCGCCGTCGACTTGCCCTTGAGGTCGTGCGCGACGAGGGGCGCGCCCTCGAGGCCGTCGCTGCTCGCGCGAAACTCGAACGCCGTCTTCTGGAACGGCGGGCGCAGCTTGTCCGCGTTGGACGGCGGCACCGTCGCGCAGTGCGACAGGCCCGGCCGGCTCGGGCCGGCTCGGGGCGCAGTCGTCGTCGAGCCCGATGAGGACGATGACGGGAAGGGCTTGAGGGCCGGGCGGCGAAAGTCGTCGGGCGAGGACGAGCGCGGGATGGCGAGTGGGGCGACGGGCGCGAACGTCGACTGGGTCGGCGGCGCCGACTTTTCGGCCTTGAAAAGGCTCTTGAGGAACGGGTGGTCGCATTTGGAGGTAGGGGCGGCCGTCATGGGCAGGGCGGCCGTGGATGAATGCGGGCGCTGGAACAGGAGGGGCCGAGGCGCCGGTGCGCGGGTGCGGGTAGACGACGAGCTTGCGACGGGTGCCGGTGCGGGCGAGATGTCCATGGCGTCGACGGGCGACGATGGCGGGATGCGCGGGCGCAGGTGCGACGGCAGCGGCGAGAGGTGGTGCCCTCCTCGCTCGTCCGACGTGATGGACCTGGGTGGGTGCGGCTCGAAAGGTCAGCTCTCGGGCTCGGTGGGAAAAGGGGAGGGGGGGCTTGTCGTCGGGATAGACGTACATGGAGCTGGCAAACGACGCATCGAACGAAGGCGAGATCTCGCCGTCGTGGTAGGCCGCCGTGGGCGAAGACGGGGCGAGGACGTGGTGCAAGCCGTGGGTCGCGAGGAGCGACGGCGCGTCTGGCCGAGGCGACGACGACAGCATGGCGGGCGGTCGGTGCTGGTGCTGCTGGTGGTGCGGGTGCACGCTGGCGAGCAGCGGCTGCCGGTCGTC